GACCACCAAAAAATAAAAATAAAAAACAAAGTAGGAGACTAATTGAAAGGGTAACCTTTGTCTTCAGGTGAACATTTTGGCTTTTGCTAAGGTTCTTGAATTTAGTAGGCTTCTTTCAGCATTATCTAGATGATTCCTATCAGGGCTGGATAATAGTAAATGTGTGCTGCTTGGGAATTTAAAGCTAGTATTAAATAGTCATTGGGTAGGAAATGGGTTTGTGTGTGTGTGTGTGTGTGTTGATACTAGGTCTTGAATTGAGGAGCTAGGCACTGTCCCTTAACTTTTTCGTTCAAGGCTGGCACTCTACCACTTGAGCCACAGCTCTACTTCTGGCTTTTGGGTAGTTAATTGGAGATGAGTCTCATGGACTTTCTGCTACAGCCGGCTTTGAACCAAGATCCCCAAATCTCAGCCTCCTGATCTTAGGGATTTATGCATGAGTCACTGGTGCCCAGATGAGAAGAAACTACTTTCTAGACATGATCAATCTCTCTCTCCTCCCTGTGGCAAAAAAAAAAAAGAGTTACTGTAAGGACGAAGCTCCAGCTAATGCAATGGTTTGTCAGGAAGGGTGGAAGTAGTAATAGAATATACCTGGTGAGAGCCTCAGAGGGAAAAATAGAAAAAGTGAAAAGGATGGCGGTAATAATCATAAACAGTCAAAAACCTGGAATTTTCCAGGGCTGGCTGCTGCCCTGCTGGCTACCAGCAGTAGACTCAGAAGGGCATGCTGTCAGAGCGGGCCTCAGACGGTAGCTGGGAGCCCCGCAGGGCTAAGGATTTTTGGTACCCTGCCTCTCCTTCTCTCTCCCTCAAGGCTGTGAGGAGAAGGGAAAGGAAGCAACTTTCCCCTCCTCCCAAGTATTAGACCTTCCCACGAAGCAGCTCTTCTGCAGGGAGGGAGCCTCGGCCTGATCTCTGGTAGGCCGGCCGGGCCTGCTGGATGGCTGTGGCCCGGCCCTGCAGCCCTGCAGCTGTGGCTCAGGCGGCAGAGCCTCTGCTGCTCTTCAGCACTGGAACAAGGCCGCTCTGCCAGGACCAGCCATGCCCACAGTTGAGATCTTACCATGCACTCTTCCTTCCAGGCCTAGGGATCTGCTTGGACTATCAACTTGGACTGTTAGAATATTAAGTACCAGGAGATCCTCGGGACCGATGTGGTTTTTTTTTTTGTTGTTGTTGTTGGTCGTGGGGCTTGACCCCTGGGCCTGGACGCTGTCCCTCAGCTCTTCAGCTCAAGGCAAGTGCTCTACCACTTGAGCCACAGCACCACTTCCTGTTTTCTGGTGGTTCATTGGAGATAAGAGTCTCACGGACTTTCCTGCCTTGGCTGGCTTTGAACCACGATCCTTAGATCTCAGCCTCCTGAGTATCCAGCTTTTCTTTTTTTCTTTAAAGTTATTTTTCCTTAAAATTTAAAATTTGTGGAAACCTTTATCCCTCCCAAAGAGTTCAGAAATATAGACATTTTTCATTTAAAAAATGTGTTAGGTTTGGCACAGCGGCTGGTGCTTGTAAACCTTGGGAGGTAGAGGTAGGAGGATCAATACCTGAGATTGGCTCCTAAGGAAAAAAAATGTAAGATCATCTGGAAAATAACTGACACAAAAAGGGTTGAAGGATGGTTCAACTGTAGAGCACCTGACAAGCAAGCTTGAGGCCCTGAGTTCAAACCTCAGTACTGCCAAAATGGTAAAAGATGATAATGGTAAAAGATGACAGAATAGACATTAGGCCACTTTGGGAAGGCAGTGAAATCCTCAAACTGCCAGAACGCTGGGCTCAGGTCACACTACCACTTAACAGGAAGGAAAGAGTTTTAGGGTCCAACAGGGAAACTCGCCTCTTCAACATCACATGACTTGGAACATTTCTGTCTCATTTTACCTTTGAGGTTCAGAGCTATTACGCTCTCTTCTATCACAAAGTTCACTGGAATCTCATTCCCTCCCTCCTTCCCTCTTTCTTTTCTACCTTCCTTCCTTCCTCCCTCCCTTTCTTTCTTTTTTTCTTTTTTTTTGTTGGTCCTGGGACTTGAACTCTGGGCCTGGGTGCTGTCCCTCAGCTCTTCAGCTCAAGGCGAGCGCTCTACCACTGGAGCTACAGCGCCACTTCCGGTTTTCTGGTGGTTTATTGGAGATAGAAGTCTCATGGTCTTTCCTTCCCGGGCTGGCTTTGAACCTTGATCCTCAGATCTCAGCCTCCTGAGTAGCTAGGATTACAGGCCTGAGCCACCGGTGCCCGGCTCCCTTCCTTTCTTTCTTCCTTTCTCTTTCTTCCTTTCTTTCTTTCTTCCTTCCTTTCTTTCTTTTCTTCTTTTCTTTCTTTCTTTCCTGAACTGAAACAAGCTCAGGTCCTTCTTCCATTGAACTAAATCCCTAACCCTTCTTTCTTTTCCCCTTAGTACTGAGGTTTGAACTCAGGCACTAGTTCTTGCTGAGCAGTGCTTTACCACTAGAGCCACACCCACCCAGACTTTTATTAGAGACTTTCTTGGAATGTAGTGTGACACTGGGATGTGGTAAGATCTAAATGTGCCAGATTGTGTGTGAGGGAGCGTGCAGTCGATCGTGGGTATTTGTGAACTCTGATGCCATAGTAAGTTAGAAGATAAAGGAACTAGAGTCCGATTCGGTTACAGTCCCGTGGCAGCTGTGCTCCTGGTGTACTTTGCTGGAGGTTACCGTGTACGCACCATAGAGCCAGGATGCAGGAGTTATAGAGCCCTCGGCAAGACCGGGAATTTATATTCAAAGTAGGAGAAGCCTTCCTAACAAGCCAGCCATTTTCCTCATTGCTGCAAACCTCAGCCCAAAGTATTGCAGCAAGTCAGAAACCCACAAGTACTCTCTCTCTCCCTCTTTCTGCCTATACTGGACATGAACTCAGGGCCTGGGCACTGTCCCTTTGCTTTTCCCCTCAAGCTTAGAGCTCCATCACTGAGCCACAACTCCACTTCTGGCTTTTTGGTGGTTAATTGGAGGTAAGAGTCTCAGGGACTTTCCTGCCTGGGCTGGCCTCAAGCTTGAATCCTCAGATCTGAACCTCCTGAGTAGCTAGGATTACAAGCTGAGCCACTGGTGCCTGGCTAGTTGGGTATCTTTATTGCTGAGTATATGAACATTCCTTCAGTTTGTTTTTCCCACAGCCATGGGGATTTTGACTCAAGTGCACCAAGCTATTCTTGTTTGGTGTGACCAGACCACAAGGACCCATGGATTGAGGAGTGGACATGGAGATCTCCTGTGAGTTGGGCAGCACAGCCTAAGGGGAGGGCAGGAGGACAAGGCCGCTGCCTTGTCCGCTCAGGTATGTCCAGGGACACGGAGGGAAGATACGTCAGTGCTTCCTGGAACCTGGGAAAGGGAACAAACAGTTCTCAAACCACAAAAATGTGAAAAAGCTTTCCCACTAAAAAAAGGTGGTATTTTCTTCCTTCCTGCCTTCTTTCTCTCTCTCTTCCTTCCTTCCTTCCTTCTTTCTTTTTCAAAGAGAGGGAGAGAGCAAGAAAAGGGTGTCATTGTCCAAAAAGAAATGTACTCATCACCTGACTTGTGTAACTGCAATCCCTCTGTTTATCCCCTTTACAATAGCAATGAGAAATAAGTAAACATTTAAAAAGCATCAGCCATTGAAATAAAGTTCAATTTAAAAAGCACGTTGGGCCACTACAGCAGATGGAATGTGTCCATAGAGGAGCACAAAGAGTGATACAAACGGGAGCAGGTCCCCAGCATGTCCCAGCTGGCGAGAGGTGATGCCGCAAGCCCCACAGTCAGTCAGTCAGTGTGTTAAAATAACGCTCACACCTGTCATCCTAGCTACTCAGGAGGCTGTGATCTGAGAATCACAGTTCTAAGGCAGCCCAGGCAGGAAAGTCTGTGAGACTCTAATCTCCAATAAATGACCAAAAACAAAAACTCCAAACCCCCCAAACCCCACCCCAGAAGTAAAGCTGTGGCTCAAGTGGCAGAGCACTAGCCTTGAGCAAAATAAACTCAGGGACAGTGCCCAGGCCCTGAGTTCAAGCCCCAGGATGTGAGTTTTACTTTAGTAATGAAAAGTACATCTGAGAGCTTTCCTAGTTCCTCCCGTGTCCTCCTCAACACAGCTCGCCCATGGCCAATGAGAAGCAGAACCTGCTTGAAGAGCCCCTGCCATTTCCCCCACCTCAGCCACAGCCACCCACAGGACCTAAGGCCCCTCTATCCCACACTCTATCCAACAGGACCCTTTGCACACAGGTCTGTCTTCTCTTTAGCGAAGAGGCCTTTGATCTCATTAAAGGTAGCTGGGGATGGAAGCCAGGGCCCTGAGCATGCTGGACCTGTGTTCCCCCTCTCTCCTCCCTGGCTGCAGCCCCAGCCACACGTGGCATGTGTAGATCTAGGGCACATCTGTACTCAAGTCCTTATTTATTTATTTGACTGATTGATTGCGCTGGTACTGGGGCTTGAACTCAGGGCCTGGGACCTCTCCTTTAGCTTTTTCACTCAAGGCTGGTAGTCTACCAGGTGAGCCACACCCCTCACTTCCAGCTTTTTCGTTGTTGTACATTAATGGGACATAAAGCATATCAAGGGCTTTTCTGTTCAGGCTGGTTTTGAACTGTGATCCTCAGATCTCCACCTCCTGAGTAGCTAGGATGACAGGTACCAGGAACTGCTAACAGCCTTCCCCAAAGCGCCCTCCACTCCCTCCGTGTGCAGGGGCCCAGCACCAAGCCCTGAAGTCAGCTCTAGCAGGCCGCCAGCTGTGGGTCTGCACAGAGACAGGTCTGGGTCAGCTGACCTCAGCCCACATCACAGCTGGAGCCTCTTCAGCAAGCCCATGTGCTCGGCGTGAAAGAAAACACGTGTGAAGAGCTCCATGTGAACTCCTCTAAAATGACACACCCACTGCAAGCACTGTGCAAATCCAGCTCTAATACACGTCTACGTCTATGTGGATAAGCCAGGCCCGTGGGAGCCTGGGAAACCCCAAGTGCGTGGGTCGGGCTACATGTCATAGAGCCGCAGCTGTTCCTGCACGTCTCCGTCGGCCATCTCCCCGAACGTCTCCTTGTGGTCCTTCATGAGCTTGAAGATGGCAGCCAGCTGTTCCTTCTGAACTCTGTCAAGAAGAAAGGAGAAGAGGAAGAAGGTGTTTCTCACCTGGGGGTGGGCTGGGGCACGGTCCTCTCATTGGCTTTTGCTTTCTGGAAGGAGGGGAACTCGAACACCAAGCAAACCTTACCAACCATGCAGGAGCAGTTTGCCCAAACACACTCAACCCTGAGATTCCCACTCTTTGGTGGACCGTGGAGGGTTCACTTCAACTCATCGTGCCTCAGTTTCCCTCTGGGCCACACTTCATTATTGACAGTGAGACAAGGAGGAAGAGAGCATGCCCCCCTCCCCCCGTTAGCGTCTTGTCATCCTAGGAAGATCCAGGTTAGAAATGGTTTCAGACGAGCCAAAGATGGAGGAAGAACAAGATCTTATTGGGTGATGGGATCGTCCAGATGTGAGCGCATCCAGATAGTCAGGCCACAGGGTGGGTGGGCTGAAATCCAGCCCATGGGATTTCCCTGCTCACAAAAAAGAGGCGCCTTTTTCTATTTAGCACAGAGGTGTCCCTTGGCCACCAGGCTGCGGCCCCACCTTCCTACCCCCAAAGCACTGGGAAGGTCAGCTGGGCGTGAACTAGGCTGGGTTCAAGTCCAACTCTGTTATCTTTCCGAGGCTCCGCCACACCATCTGACAAGCATAGGACAACACCCCTAGCAAACAGGAAGCAGCTGGAGCCAGGCTGTACTGGACAGCAAGGCTGGCGACTGTGTCCTGGCTCTGGCCTACAGTTCCGGTTCTTTGCTTCTGAAGTTCCTGCTCTCCACACCGTACCTCCTGGCACCTTGAGCGAACCTAAGCCACACTGTGTACTTTAGTCTCTCAGCCAGGGCCAGGCTGCAGGCCCCAGCAGCAGGCTGCCCACACCCCCACCATTACAGGGGGGCTAGTTCCTTAGAGCTGGGATTTTTGCTCATCCTAACAAAATGGTAGAGTGAGCGCTAGCCCTGAGCTAAAGAGTCCAGGGACAGCACCCAGGCCCAGATTTCAAGCCCCACGACCACCAAAAAAAAAAAAGAGGTTGACATGCTGAGATTTGGTTGGAAGAGGGTCTCAAGGAAAGCGACCATGAACCCAGGAGAGGGTGTGCTTGAACCCCCGGATGGAGCCACAGTCAGGCACGTGTGCGGGCATCTCCCCGAAAGAGCGCAAGCTATTTTGTGTGTATTTTCTGGCTGCAGAGTAGCTTTGCATTTTAAACACAGAGAGCACACAACTTCATACTCTACTAGGGAGTAAAAGCTATCAATGAAAAAAAAAAGAATTTCAAGTTATTGGTTTTCAAAGAGATTATTTTTAAACCCAAGGTAAACAGAAAAAAAACACACAGTAATCGTGGTCATCTATGAAACAGTTTATTGGACTGAAGAAAGGCTGGATATTCACAGCCAAGTTTCAGGAGTGCGTGAGGCTTGCTGTACAGGCCAAGTTCAGAAACCTACCTACCTAGATTGAGAAGTCACTACTTTCTAGAAGGTTCCAGCCTGGATAGAGGTGTTGCTATTGCTATTCAAGATTGAGTGAGTACACGTTTTCATCTTGTGGCTCTGTGTCCTAAGTTGGTTGCCTGTTCTTCGAATCCCCGAACCCGAGACTTTAGGCTCAAGGACGCTTCCTGCCTTAGGAGCTGGGCTTCCATGGAAGGGCATTTTCAGAAAACTTACTGCTCTACAAAAAAATATTTTCACCAACAAAATCTAAGAACTACAAAGTCGTTTTTGGTATAGTATAAATACTGTCAAATACAAAATTCCAGCACGCTAACCTAGAACGGATCTGATGATCTGTGGAAGTACTACCTAATCTATCAATCTCACTAGGAAAAAAAAATGCATAGTCTGGAAACTGATTTCTCTTTACAAACACTGTTTTATGGCTTCTGCAAAGCAAAAGTGGGAAATGTGGCTGAGCTAGTCAGAACTTTAGTTTTTTTTTTTTAAAAAAAGGCCTCTTTGTAATAAGAGGGCTGGACCTGAGCCTCCTCTGGGTGGGAAAAAGAACCCAGTGCCAGGGCCGCACACCCCAGCCCCAGGCACACCCCAGCCCCAGGCACACCCCAGCCCCAGAGAGAGCAGGAGAGATGGAGGGCACCAGACGGTCCCTGATGGAGCGGTGCCCTCAGGCCAGCCCAGCCTCAATTATCTGCCAGTCCCTGAAGCCTGTGGCTTGGAGGGCAAAAGAGGGGTGCTGGGTTCAACTCTACTGTGATTGGAAGTGTTGGAGCTGATGCAGTCGGAGGTATCTTGGGGATGGGGCTGTGTGAAGGAAGGGTGTGTAGGGAGCAAATCCAAGTTCAAGGTCTGAGCTTACACTCGATGCACCTAAGTGGAGTGACCATCTCCAGAGAGCAGCACCAAAGGCATCCCCAAAGATTCTGCTAGCCAAGGGGAAGTCCTGACAGGGGTCAGCATCTCCGCGCCCCTCCCCTCCAGGGTGGGGGTGGGGGGCAGGCTTGATAGGCTCCTCTCTGGGGGGCTTCCACTTTTATCTCTCAAGCTTTTTAGATGCCAAAAGGAAAGAGCCTTCTGGGGGAGGCTAAAGACAACTTCATTATTCTTCAGTTCTGCAGAGAGAAACAGGAAGAAAGAGAGTGTGTTTTACTCGGTACATCTCACAGGTCTGTGGGTGTGGAGAGGGGGCCGTGGGGGTGGGGAAGGAGGATGTTTGGGACTGCAGAAGCCATCCTGGAGAGCACGGTGAGTTCTCACACACCCAGCCTGCCCCATCACCAGCAGCCACACAGCCTCTGAGGACTCCTGGACAGGAGCTGGACGGTCCAGTTGATCTTTGCTGTGTGGCTACACTAGCGATGTTTCTCCTACCCTAGATCATTCCTGTGGGAACTGGCATGCTAAGACGTGCATCCCCCTGGAGGCCGCAAAGCAGTGCCCAGCCGGAGGGAATTGGTGGAGCACGCACCGGGGACCTGATTTTGTGCCTCTGGCGCCCTCTCTTGGAGACTGCAGTCAGGGTGCATTTCCAGACACTGTCCTGAGACTGAAGAACCAGAACCACGCTTGGCAGTGTGGCTCCTCCGCTGCCCTTTTCCTTCCTCACTTCTGCCTACCAAACCCCTGGTCTGTTGCTCTAGGGCCACGTCCATTTCCAGACAAGTTGGCGCAGCCCTGTGGGCCTGCAGATGGAGGGGCAAGGGGTGCGGCTGGCCTGGCAGTGCCAGCCTGCCTCCTAGCTGGGTTCTACTTCCCCTGTGATCCAGGGGAGCTTACAGCTGGGCTGTATTTTTTTTTTTCTGGCCAAGCTAGGAAGCCAGGCCAGGCTTGCCAGCCTCACGAGTCCTGCAGGGGGTGAGGCCTGTGGTCTGGGAGCCATTGTCAGCCTGCAAGCAGACCATTCCAGCTGCACTGAGCTGGAGGTAACGGATGCCTCCTGGAAGTGCAGATTTGACACTCAGAGGTGGAGCCAGGACCCTGCAGCCAGGCAGACCCCGAGGTGAGGCGAGCACTGGGGCACTCTGCGGGGGCAGCAGCCCCACCTCTGGCCTGCAAACCTGGCCACTTCCAGCCCCTGGGCTGTTCCTGCATTGGGGACGTGCAGTTGAGCTCCAGGGAGCCCTCACTTGGGGCCCTCTGCTTCCAGTCCGCTGCTGCAGAAGTGGGCTCGGGCTTGGGCTCGGGCTTGGGCTCGGGCTTGGGCTCGGGACGCGGCGTGCATGCGTGGAGGCGGGAGGAGGTGCAGCGTTTCCGTGGGAACCGGCTGGCCCCCTGGGCTCTGAGCAGAGGGGCACAGAGACAGCTGCACCCGCTGGCCCCGGGGCTCAGGCAGTTGACAATGACCTGCACGCAGTTTCCAGAGGACAGTGCTAAATTGGCTCCCATGACTGCAGGGCAGCCCTGAGAGCTCTATCACGAAAGACTAAGGCAAACTGAGCAGCCTCTGCAACCCAAGCATCCCTGGAGGGGGGACGGGAGGGGCCCCCAGGCAGCCGCAGGCTGGGGCCCCATGCAGGAGGGAGCAGGCAGAGGAGGCAGGCATGCGCATGCGGGGTGGGGCGGGGCGATGGCGGGATGAACGTGAACCCTAGCCCACTCATGATTTCCTCCAGCCCCTCCTCAGCTCCGGGTGCACAGTGTGCAGATGAGGCGCAGGGACACTTTTCCTCACGTCCAGAGCACCTCCTCAAGAGGTCCTCAAGTGTGGGTGGTCCCGAGAACGGTGGAGGAGACCTGGGGGGGTCCGCAGACACCCTCACTACCCCCGACCCATGGGCAATGCAGTCTAGTGTCTGTAAATGACACAGAGCCGTTCTTGCTCCCAGTCTCTGGGTCCCGGCTCTGGATATGAAGGCAGTGGCAGTCTGCTCCGCCCCCCTCCCTCCGCCCTGCACCGTCCGCTCCCTGGTCTCTCCATGGTCACAGAAGGTAGACAAAAGGAGGCCACAGCACTGTCACAGCCGCTGTCCACAGGGACCTTAGAAGATGGTGGCTGCTGAGCCCTCTCTGTCTCTCATCCCAGAAGCTGTGAGCCACCCTTGTCTGCTGCCCCTGGTCAGCTCTGCTGCTGAGCCACAGACCACAGAGCCAGTGGAACGGCGGCACTCACAGCAGCTGGTGGGGCCGCGTGGGGCCCAGCCTTGGGCTGCAACTCGGATTCCAACAACCAAATCTGTCCACCCTGCCACACAGGAGCAGACAGGTCTGCATGCCTGCGGTCCCCTGTCCAATCAGAGCCTCACCTTCTCCGGGTGAGATGGGGGCTACATGGCGACCTAAGGAGACTCACAGTGATGCTGTCCACAGCTCTGGGGGGTGATGTGACGGCCCCCAGGCTCACAGGGGGAGAGAGGCACTAGCCCCCAACCAGCTGGCCCAATAGGCCTGCCAGGAACTTAACTGAACCTCCAGGACCTATTCCTTGGTGCCCAGAGATCTCATGCAGAAAAATGAGGTGGAAACGCGTTAATCGGTTATGGGGGTGATGAAGGGGAGGTGGCGCAGCCCACGTTGGTGATGCTGGGGACACATCAGCAGACAATGAGGGAAGCACCACTAGTCTAAGAAACCGATCTTCTTACCAAAGGGTGTGCAAGAGCATTTGTGGCTCAGGACCTAGGGAACTTGCTAGAGGGAAGTGAGGTCAGAGGTCAGCTCAATCCTGAAATATAAAGGCAGCAGATGGGGGGAGGGGGTCAAACCAACAGGCAGCGTGCTCAGCATGGAGAAGCCGAGGCCCCCCACAGAGCGGCTCGCGGGCACTGCCAGCCTCACCCCTGGGTGAGGAAACCCCCCTGCAAAGCCAGAGCTAGGCAGGCAGACGCTGCGGGGGTGGCGGGGTGCAGCCACAAGCGGGTGGTTGAGCTGCACATTTCACTTGTGGGTCCCCCTCTGCGTGCAGCTCCCGCTGAGACAGGGCTTGAACCAAAGGCTCCAGACCCCACTGCACAAGGCAGCGCGTGCACGCGTGGAGGGCAGTGTGTGTGTGTGTGTGTGTGTGTGTGTACAGCGGCAGCCTACCGCCAAGGAGCAGAACAGATAGATAATAACACCACTGCCAGCACCGGGGGGGGGGGGGAGGGCTGTTAGATGGATGAGCACCAAGAATCCCGGCTCTGTCTCCAAGTGATAAATTGGTTTTGTCGTGGACTGTACGTGTAAGTGAACAGCTGGGTCTGTTCCCAGCTTTCTTCTGGCATCTCATTCTTTGTTTATGGTGGGGGAGAGTGGGGTGGAGCTAATGCTAGACGCGGGCCCTAATGCCCCCCCTTCCACCACCACCCCAGAGCTCCTTCCTTGATTGCAGCCTGGCTGAACTGCCAGGATAGGAAAGAACCCCAAACCAAGAGGGATGGAGACTCCGTGGAGGCGGGGTGTGCAGGAGCCCCTCCCCTCCCCTGGCTCCACCCCTCAGTGCTCTAAAAGCCACGCCCCCAGAGCCTTGCCTACCTCTGCTCCTCCTCCAGCTCTTCTTTGGTCATCATCTTCTTGTACTGGTTTCCTCTCAGTTGGCCCGGGCGGTACTTAAAGGAGAAGGCCTCTGCTACGGAGGGAGACAAGAGTAAGCCATGGCCATGTAGGTCTTCCCTCCCCAACAAGGAAACCCCACGTGATTCCCTTCACCACGTTGACCTCTTTCATCTCTCTGCAGTGCTGGGGGGCAAACTCAGAGCTAGCAAGTGCTCTACCACTGAGCGACATCCCCAGCCCTCTGACCAGGAGGGGCAGGCCGGTCCCATGCCTGGCCCCTGGGCCTGCTTGGGGACAGTCCCAGCCCCTGAGGTACCAGGAGCTCCCCAGAGTGCCTGCACCTCATCCCATCCCTTTCCATGAAATGCTGTGGCTCCTCACAGACCTTATTCCCAGCGGGGGGGGGGGGGGGAAAACACGGGTAAAGGGGAGGACCCCCCCCCCAGGGGCCCCCCCCCACCCCCCTCCCCTCCCATGGGGGGCCGGGGCCCCCCACACACCTATTCTCCCGGGGGGGGGGGGGGGGAGAAACACAGGTGAAAAGGAGACACCCCCCTCCATGGGCTCCGCCCTCTCCAATATGACACTTCGCTCCCCAGCAAACAGCCCAGTGTCCGCAGGGCTCTCTGTCCCTCCTCTCCCTGTGCTGCTGTGCGCCATGCGGGCGGCTCCTCTTCCAGTTGCTATTCTAGAAGTATTCTACAAGTATTCCCTGCTGCCCCTGCGGGGTCAGGAGCTGCCGCCCCCCCACGTCTCCTCAGGACAGGCCTGGCCACCCTGACCTCCAGCTGGTGGCAGTCACACCCCATCAGACAGGCTGATGGGGGCTCAGAAGGCAAAGGCCTCTGGGAGGAGGGGTTCTCTCTAGGCTGTGAGGAAGAAGGTTCTAGCTATAAATTCAGAAGAGGTTGATTCCCTGTTGTCCACACCTCACTCAGGTCCGAGCTGGCGGCTTCCTGCCACCCAGCCAGCTGCCCAGGGACCGGGGCTAGGAAGCCATCACTACATCTGCCCCTAACTTCTCATTCATTCCACAGACACTCAGTGCTGGGGACACCAAAAGAAGTTACTAGAACTTCCAGGAAGCAGATGCCTCCAGGCTTAGCTCTAGAAGCTTCATGCCTCCTGGCTGGTGGCCACCAGGAGCCTCTCCTGGTTTGGACAGATAAGGCCCAGAACCTGACGGTTACCCCGAGGCAACGTGGGTCCTGGGGAGCAGGGAGCCAGGGTGCCAGGGGCATCCTCCAAACTCGCTCACACCCCTGGCGGCAGCAGCTGCAGATCGAGCGACCACCACCCCTCGGTGTGGACCCAGCAAAACTGACAAGGAAAACCAGTGCCTTCGCACGGGGAGGGGGGGGTGGGGGGGGTCCCCTGCATCGCTGAGACAGAAAGGTGAGCCTGGAAACTAGCCATGGGCAGGGGACCAGATGATGCATGGCCACATCCAATTCTGCTGGCCCAGGAGGGTTCAGCCCGTGAGTCCCAGGGGAGCAGAGGAGCCCGCCGCACCCCCACCTCCAGTCTGTCAACCCACCCCACCCCACCGCTTTGCATGGCTTAGGGAAGTCATTTTAGCGACACTAATCAATTAGCCCAGGAGACTGAGCTGCTCCCTTCGGAGGGGGCCGGGCCCCCCCTCAGGCTGTCTCCTGACAGCTGCGGCCAGCAGCCCCCTCCCTCCGCCCTGTTAGAGTGGAGGAAGGCTGGGGGCTGGGGAACAGCTCCACGTGGGGCTGTGCATCTGTGAAGATGAGGACCGTTGAGTTAGGACGGCTGACAGGGGGTCACCCTGTCTCCTCGCTTCAGCCTCCTTTCTGTGTCATTACCCACAGCCCTGCTGAGCCTCTGGCTATGCTCCTGCCAGTAGCTAGCTTAATGCCACAAACAGGCTTGCTTAAAAAAAAAATGTGTGTGTGTGTGTGTGTGTGTGCGTGCCGGTACTGGGGCTTGAACTCAGGGCCTGAGCACTGTCCCAGAGGCTAGAACTCTGACACACCTCTACTTCTAGCTTTTAAGGTCCTTCATTGGAGAGAAGAGTTTCACATATTTTCCTGCCCAAGCTGGCTGCCAAGCGCCATCCTGAGATCTCAGCATGCTGAGTACTTAGAGTTACAGGCATGAGCCACTGGTGCCCAGCTGCTAAACCTGCTTTTTATTTAATTTTTTTGGTGGTACGAGGGTTCCAATTCAGGACCTTGTGCTTTCCAGACAGGCATTCTACCACTTAAGTCATGCCCCGGCCTTTTGTGGTTTATCTACGAGGTAGGGCCTTGCATTTTTGCCTAGACCAGCTTGGATTGCTGTCCCCCCACTGATACCTCCCCCACTGCTGAGATGATAAGAGTCATGCCATAGTGCATAGGTTTTTGTTAAAATGGGTTCTTTTTGTTTGGGTTATCCTGGAAACTCGATCCTCCAGATTTTTGCCTCCTCCATAGCTGGAACTTTAGGTGTGAGCCACCATGCCTGGCAGGATTTTTTTTAATTAGAAATATGTACTTGCAGGCTGGGAAGGTGGCTCAGTGGTAGAGTGCTTGTCTCGCATGCATGAGGCCCTGGGTTCAATTCCTCGGTACCGCAGAAGCAGAAAAAGTTGGAAGTGGCGCTGTAGCTCAACTGATAAGAGCCCTAGCCTTGAGCTGAATTGCTCAAGGACAGTGCCCAGGCCCAGAGTTCAGGCCCCATGACTGGCAAAAAAAAAAAGAAAGAAAGAAATATGTACTTGCTGTGCAGATCTGAGAAGTGTGGCCATTATGTTATTTTCTGCTCCAGTTTCTTTTGGAAGGAAACAGAAGCCCTATCCACTGTTTTGTTTTTGTTTTGTCAGACGTGGGGCTTGAACTCTGGGCCTGGGTGCTGTCCCTCAGCTCTTCAGCTCAAGGCGAGTGCTCTACCACTTGAGCCACAGTGCCACTTCTAAGGTTTTTGTGGGTTTGTTTTTGTTTCTACCCACTGTTTTGTTCTGCCTGTCACTTTGTTCTGTCTGTCTGTTTAGAGCTACTTGCAAGCCCTGCGTGTCTGCTGTGTTCTCTCCCTCCCTCAGTCCTCCTGGAATGAATAACACAGGCCTGGACACCGTACGTGTCCAGTGCTCAGGGGTTGGCAGCCCCCCACTCTTCTGCATCAGCCCCAGCCAGAGATGGCTTTCCAGGGCTTTCCTTTCACTCACAAAGCGGTGGTGAGGTATTTGGAGAGAAACGTTGAGATTCACTTGGGTGGGGAGGGGAACGCTGAAGGCCCAGCAGAGGCCACTGAGCTTTTCCTCACAAGAGGCCCAATCATTCCACAGCAGCAAGGAGGGACCAAGGAGCGACTGGGAGGGCGGAGGAGGTGGGTGGCAGGCTAGGCCCTGGCCTGGGCACCCCCAGTCCCCTCCCACCACCAGCGCTGGGCAGATCCAGCTGGGCCCCTCAGAGTCAGGCAAGGACTCGGTGCAGGCAGGGCCCACTCACCATCCTCTTCCTCGGGCCCTGCAGGGGGCGGGTCCTTCTCGCTGTCTGAGTCAGGCTCCTCTTCCTGCAAGACAAAGACAGGGTCAGGGCAGGCAGAGGGCGGGCCAAAGTTCAGCTCTGGCGGAAGATGGGGTAGAGGCGAAGCCATTCTCAGGAGATGTGAACTGCCTTCCAAGATGGGGACGTGGGGGGGGGCGGGGAGAGCCTCAGAGGCCCCCTGAGGCTGCATCTAGCAGCAGCGCCTGTCCTGGACATGGAGGCTGTGCTGTCAGAGCACGTGGGGGTTGGAGGCTGATGAGGGCTCCTGGTTCAAGAAAGATGTTCCTTTTTTTGTTGTTGATGCCAGTCCCGGGGCTTGAACAACTGGGCCTAGGTGTGGTCCCCGAGCTCCTTTTGCTCAAGGCTAGCACTCTACCACTTGAGTCACAGCGCCACTTCCAGCTCTTTCTGTGCATATGGTCCTAAGGAATCGAACCCAGGGCTTCCTGAAGGCTAGGCAAGCACTCTACCACTAAGCCCCCTTCCCAGCCCGAAAGAGGTTCCTGTACCTGCACCCTTAGGACTTCAGCCTCGACCCTGGCCAGACAGTGCTGTCTGGGAACTTGGGTGCCGTTGCTGGGCGGGGCTGGGAGTCCCACTGCCCATTTGCAGGGATTAGTAAAACAGAAGCGCTGAGAAAGCTGGCTGGGCTGGCCTGCCCAGGGACCTTGGCCCTTAGTGCAGGCTGTGAGAAAATGGCTAGTCTCTCCCTCCCCCTCCCTCTCTCCCTCCCTCCCCCTCTCCCCTCTCTTTCTTTGGGGACAGGGGAGAGGGAGGGGCTGGAGACAGAGTTCCTATGTATCCTGGGCTGGTCTTGAACTGGAGGCCCTCCTTCCTGCCTCCCCTTCCCTGGAACTCTAGACTGGCGTCTGCAGGCTCAGACCACCACGGCTGGCTGATGTCATCTGCTATCGCTAACCCTTTGTGTCCATTTTCCCAAAACTGGAACTCCACCTCTCCAGCCCATCTCGCCCACACAGGAACTCGATGCACAGATGTACTGGGGTGGCCCGGCAGAAGGAAGGTGACTTCAACTTAGAGGAATGAGGATGCCAGGGACGGGGCTGGGCGGTGAGGGGAGAGGAGGACGGGCTGAAGGAAGAGACTTGGAAGTGTGGCTGGCAACTGTGGCCAGGAGGCAGACTCAAGAAGGAACACAAGTCCTGGGCAAATGCAAACCTAGGCCCTGGGCAGCCTGGGGCCCCCGGGGGCTAGGCAGGCCGTGGCAGTGTGGACTCCCCAACAGAACGGCCGGCGCTGAGCTGAGCCAGGAAACAAGGCTTTCTCCTTCACCGTGAGTCACAAATGGCAAATGCCTGAGCCTCGAGCTCTTCAAAGAAGCTTCCTGTGCCCCACAAAATGCTTCCTGGAGGGTCTGTATGTAACAGCGTGGCCGGGGGGGCCGATACCTTCCCGATTTTGGGTCCGGTTGTGGGGCCTGAACTCTGGGCCTGGGCGCTGTCCCTCAGCTCTTCAGCTCAAGGCAAGCGCTCTACCACTGAGCCACCTTCCCAGCACCTTCCCGATTTTGTACAGCAAAGTGTGTGGCTGCAGGGATCCAGGCAGGTCCCGTCACGGCTCAGTGATGGAGCACACCCGCCTCTAAGGATCTGCCTCCAGTCTGGAAACATGTCTATTAAGATGGATACAATGAGCCAGGCGCTCTCACACCTGTGATCTGAGCTACTCAGGAGGCTGAGAGCTGAGGACCGAGATTCAAAGAAGCCAACCTAGACAGAAAGTCCATGAGACTCTTATCTCCAGTTAACCAGCAAAAAGCCAGAAGTAGCTATAGTGGTAAAGCACCAGCCTTAAGCAAAAAAGCCAAGTAAGAGTACAAAGCCCTAGCCGGGCGCTGGTGGCTCACGCCTGTAATCCTAGCTACTCAGGAGGCTGAGATCTGAGGATCGCGGTTCAAAGCCAGCCCGGGCAGGAAAGACTATGAGACTCCTATCTCCAATAAACCACCAGAAAACCGGAAGTGGCACTGTAGCTCAAGTGGTAGAGCGCTCGCCTTGAGCTGAAGAGCTGAGGGACAGCGCCCAGGCCCAGAGTTCAAGCCCCACGACCGACAAAAAAAAAAAAAAAAGAGTACAAAGCCCTGAGTTCAAGCCCTGTACAAGCCCTGTACACACACACACACACACACACACACACACACACACACACACACACACACAGATTTATACAATGACTCTTTGTGAGGCAGAAACCCAGACAGAGCTAGAGATAATGAAATGTTGATCCACAGAATTAAGTATCTTCTGGCTAAGTATATCTGGTGAACAATGAACAAGTTCACTCAGACATTCCCTAGTCCGTTGTGTCACAGGGCATGCGTACCAAGCAGTGCTGAGCATCCACAGAGGTATCTGTGTGTGCAGATGGAAAAGAGCCCTTGATAGGCCAATCATGCAGGGGTGTGGCCTGAGGGGGTAGAGCACCTGCCCAGCAAGCGCCAGGCCCTGAGTTCAAACCCCAGTACTGCTGAAGAGAGGGAAAAGAGAAATCTGAGGGAAAGCGGCAGTGTGCAGTGTGTTGGGTACTCTTGGTGCAGGCGTGAGGAAGGGAGTCAGCCCTGTGCTGGGAAGTGCAGGCAGAAGTCTGCCCACTGTGGCTACCTGTGGGGAAGAGGGCGTGGGGAAGGCTGGTCTTGGAGAAGTCTGGTCTTTCTTCATTGTTAGTTTCTAATGAGGCCATTCAGGAAGGTCCTACTGTTTCCCCCTCTTCCCTCCCTTTTTTGGTGCTGGGGCTGGGGCTTTTTCTGCTCAGGACTGGTGGCTCTCAACCGCTTGAGCCACACCTCTACTTCTGGCCTTTTGTGCTGGTTAACTGGACATAAAGGGTCTCATAGACTTTTCTACTCAGGGTGGCTTTGAACTATGATCCTCAGGTCTCCTGAATGGCTCGGATTACAGGCGTGAGCCACGGCGCCTGGCACTGTGGTCCTCCTGAAGGGAAGTCTGTAGGCACACAGGACCTCAGGCATGCATAGACAGAAGGCCCCTTGAAGGATTCAGGGAGCAGCCCTGCCACCGCCATTGTGCTGGGCTTTGGACTTGATGCAGAACATCTGGAAAATAAATGTCTACTGTTGAAGCAGCCAGGCTGTGGTATTTGACCACAGCAGCCCTGCCAAAGGACTACAGCCTGCTTTCAGGAAAGCAAGCCACATTCATGAAAACTTAGCCCCCGAGACATAGAGCTGATGCCACCCCAAGGCAGGCTGGGCTTCGAAAACTGTGAATCACCGCCCCCCCCCGCCCCGGGCAGGCAGGGTGAGATGCACAGCCAGTCTCCACACCGCCCCCCCCCGCCCCGGGCAGGCAGGGTGAGATGCACAGCCAGTCTCCACACACACCAGAGACCCAGCATATCCTTACGGAATGGAGACATTGGATTGTGTGGTTTTTGTTTTGAACTGGTAGTCCTGGGACTTGAACTCAGGGCCTGGGTGTTATCCCTGAACTTTTTTGCTCAAGCCTAGTGCTCTACTACTTGAGCCACAGCTCCACTCCTGGCTTTCTGGTGGTTAATTGGAGATAAGAGTCTCATGGACTTTCCTGCCAAGGCTGGCTTTGAACTGAGGTCCTCAGATCTCAGCCTCTTGAGTAGCTAGGATGACAGGTGAGAGACACCAGTGCCCGGCAAAACCATGTTTCAATAGCAAGTACTCTGGGCTAGTTTCCCAATTGGGCCTTTTCCTCCACTGGGGTAGGAGAGGCAGAAGATAGGGCACTGCCTCCCACTGGCAGGTGTGGAGACTGAGCACAGAGCCGCGGAGGGGACGGCAGCCTCTCCAGACCACCAAGGCTCCACTGGCCCGCTGCAGGCAGCACACGGCCATTTATGGCTGCCCTGGCTGACTGCAGCGTGATGGGGTGGCTGGGGCCGGGCACAAGTGGTAGAGCGGCTGCTGAGAAGTGTGAGGCCCTCAGTTCACACTCACTGCAAGAAGGGACAGGGAAGAGGTAGAGATGGATGTCTGTCTGTCCCTGGCTGCTGGGGAAGTTGCCTGGCTCTGGCTGGGGTGGTCCTTGCAGGGTCTGGGATTTGCCCCTTTGGTCCCCAGTCTCCTGCGGTGCCTACTTAAGAGTCTTCCTGAACCTACGCTCCTCCAATTCACTCTGCTTTGAAAACACATTAAAATCCCACCTTGCTGGGCACGGGTGGCTCACACTTGTAATCCCAGCTACTCAGGAGGCTGAGATCTGAGGATGGATGTTCAAAGCCAGCCTAGGTGGTAAAGTCCCTGAGACGCTAATCACCAATTAACCATCGAAAAAGCTGGAAGGAAAGCTGTGGCTCAAGTGGTAGCGCACTAGCCTTGAGCAAAAAAGCTCAGGAACAGTGTCCAGGCCCTGAGTTCAAGCCCCAGGACCAGTACAAAACAAACAAATCACAACAATAAATGAAAAACCTTTGATGATCTCCCAGCAATCTGGTTTCTAGTTGCGCACTTCCAGAAGCCCGTTACCTTATGGTGTAGTCTACCTCTCTAGGCCATAGTAACAGCTCTGGAGCAGGTTCTGCAGGCAGAAGCTAATGTGCTAAGCTCAGGGTAGAGATGAGGAATTGACGCCTGCCGCAGGCAGAAGCCTTTCTTTCTTCCTGTGGGTTTTCCCACTTACTCACTTAACAAGAACACCCCGGAGCCCACTGGTGTGCCGGCGCTGGGGATGTGGTGCAGGGGCAGACAATGTACACTAAAATAAAAGATGATCTCACGCTGAATTAAATGCACTGAAGAAAGCCAGATAGGATGGGATGGCTGGAGAGAGGGGAGGAGGGGAGAGGAGGGAGGCGGCGACTTTCCATCTGATAGAGGACCCAGGCTGGGAGGGTTATACCAGTAAGAGACAGACACTGGAGGGTCCAGCCCAGGCGCCAGCCCAGGGTACTGAGCACCAGGAAGGCGCCTGTGGCTGCAGAGCTCAGGAGGGAGCAGGCTGTAGGATGGAGCTGGGTGGGGTGGGGGTACATGGGGCATCAGGGAGCCCTAGAGGAGGGGGGCTTGGAGAAGCA